ATATAGGGTGAGCGGCGAACATTTTTTCCAGGAGGGATGCAGGAAATTCCAAACTCGCGCAATCTTTTTGGATCGGAGGGAGTATTTGACAAGGTTGCGTGTTTATGTCCATGGCTCCTATAAAGTTTCAGGTCAAGGAAAAATTGATAATGGATGCACGTTGTGAACATATTCCAAAAGTTTATAGTTTTTGTTGAAGTCCCCTCGATGCCGCCCGCCACTGTAAATTGAAAATCCGAGTGCCAGAACGCCCTAACTTGCGAAGGACCTACGCACTATCACCCTAATCACGGTGGAGGATGAACCTCCAGTCACTCTGGCCTCGGCGACTCTGGGAGTTTTCGATTGCTAGCCATCACGCCGAATCCACTAGTCGTTGGGATCGCCCCCATTTTGTGGCCAAACCGAAGAGATGGTGAAAGCATTCATGCGAGAGCGTAAAATTGGAGCTGATGTTGACATTAACCATGCATTGCTTCTTTACAAGATCGCGACTGCAGTGGCCAGGGCGAAGGTCCCGGCCGAAAGGACTGTGGCAACGCCGCGGTTGGTCGCCACACTGGATGGCTTGGTCGTGGTGACGCCCAACGTGCTGCAGGCGGTCCAGTGGCCAAAAGCGAGTTTCCTTGAGCATCCGTGCACTTGAGAGCCGAGACCGACTGAAAGAACATCTGGCAGGCAGAGAATTGATACAACTTGGCAACGTCCGCCGCGGTGCATGTGCCTTGCAGTGCAGTCGTGCTCACGCCAGACGCGGTCGCGCAAGCGAGAATGCCAGACGTAGTGGAGCAAAGTCGGCTTCCTTGCAGACGGCCGCGGATGCGATGGCTGGTAGCAAGAGCGAGCAAGCGAATCATGGCTACGAGAGGGAAATTTGAGATGTGATTCAGTTTGGCAAAACATCGCAGTTGTTCAAGTCGTGCTGTGTGTCGTTTTTTGTGGATGGGTCCATGTGCAGTGCTAGGTGGATGGAAATATTTTCTTCGCACGATCCCCCAACGTGCGAGCGGCACATCCAAGACACTCCAACGTCTTGGCGACACTTTCGCACGTCCGAAAGAGCAGCACACGCTCCTGCAACGCCATCGAAGGATTCTACGAACCAGCGTCGCAGTGCAGGGAATTCTGCACGACAGATGCGGAGTTGAATATGTCGATCCAACTCGTCATGATGGCTGCGAATGTTGTTGAGCCACATCGGCGTGAAATATTTGATCCACAAATCTTAAGGCCACGTCATACATAATCTGCCAATTCTGCATGTTACATGAGCCTTGCGCAAGTGAAAGCTAATGAAAGCCACATCGCCCTAGCGCTGCCTAATGCAGAA